GTGTGTGTGTGTGTGTGTGTGTGCGCGCGCGCACGCCTCTGCATAGCCCCATTCGGCTGGGGACCTGAAGTTGTGTGTTGGTGGAAGAGTGGGGAGTACTCTGTGGATTGTCCTTTAGGAGTGGGGAGACTCTCCCCAGGCAGAAAACACTCCAAGCGAGCAGGTCAGTTTCACAACATCCAGGCTCTGCATTTGACTCTGTTGGTCCCCTGCTTCCCAGGCTGCTTGCTCCCTGGTGGGGGGAGGGCGGTTAGCACTGCAGATGGGAGGCTGGGGGCTGGTGTACTTTGGGGGGAGAAATACCAAAAAAGAGTGCAGGGAGGTGAGGCTGGGCTGATAGGTTCTCTCTCTCTCTCTCTCTCTCTCTCTCTCTCTCTCCCTCTCCCTCTCTTTCTCTCTCGCCAACCCAGGATCTACTGCACAGGGGAACTCTGGATAAAAGACCTTCTGGCTTGGAGATACCACTGTGTGGCCTCCAACAGGTTCTAGGGGTGCGCCCCTCCCTGTGCTCTGCTCCTCACGGTGGGCGGCTCGCTCCGGGAGGCAGAGGCAGAGAGTCCTGAGACAAAGGGTGGTGACGGGGCTGGGTGGGGGAAAGAGAAAGGGGTTGGGTGGGGAACGGGAGCGGTAGGCCCCCTCCTCCATTGTCACCAGCTTGAAAAACCAGGGCTGAGCGGGGCCTCCCCGGCCGGTAGCCCCTTTAAGGGCACATTCTCCTCCCGCCTCGTAAATTATGCCGGTCCAGCCTCTGGCCGGCCGTGACCGTGAACGCCAGCGGGGAAGGGAGAATCAGCGGCCGGCCACCGTCACCGCCGAGCCTGCCAGAAACTATCCCTGCCAATCAGTGTGGCGCTACTAAGCCTCTTCCACAATCCCCTGGACTTCCCGGAGAGCCAGCTGGGGGGTGACTGGGGTGGTAAGTGATTGGGCTCTCAATCTCCGCCGAGGCTTTGGCCCCACAGCCCCACCGGCGGCAGGCAGAGGAGATGGCACCACACCTGAGAACGCTGTTCGCCCAGTGCGGGGCAGAGGGCTTGGGACTTGGCTGTGGGGGTGGGTCAAAAGACCATTCCAGCATCCCATCCTGGAGGGGACAGGAGGCTGGTAGTCGCCGGCCTCTGCCGAATGTTTCAGCCCTCTCCGTGTCCAGCTCTGGATGACCCAGACGTGAGCGGACTTTGGGTGGCGCTGACCCCTCTCTTCTAGAAAATGGCACTTCTCCGGGGTCCCCCCACTCTCCCTCACTCTCCCCAGGCCCTCCAGACCAAGCCTCACTTCCTTCTCTCCCACTGATTTTCCGCGCTTGCTCCCTCCTCCCAACCTCTCCAAACCCCACCAACTGTGAGTTTGGGTGCCCGGCTTTCACTCTCTCCACTCTCATCTGCTTTTGCAGGTAGAAAGTCAGGGCAGCAGAAAGGAAGTGGAAGAAGGGGGCATCTGAGCCCAGGCTCCTCCAGACCCTTGTCGGAGCGCCCCAGTCCCGCCTAAAATAAAGCAGCCCCTCCCCAGCGGCTCTGGGCCCTGCCACCGTCCACAGCTGTGGGCCTCTGCTCTCTCTCTCTCCCTGGCTGGGCTTCTTCCCTTCTCTCTGAGAACTGGCAGGGCCTGCTGGGGGTGTGTGGGAGGGAACCACGAACAAAACAGACAAGAAGACGTCCAGGGAGGGCCTGCCAGAGACGCCGGGCGTCCCAAGCGGGGACTGTGTCCCAGGCGGCGCCCTCTCTTGCTCTCTGCCCAAAGACAGGCTCAGTCTGGGGCTGGCACCCTGTGCCGCCCCCTAAAAGAAGGAGAGGGCTTGCTCTCTCAACAGAAGTCTTTTCTTTTTCATTCTCCGGTTCTGAAACCAGATCTTGACCTGCTGGTCACTAAGATTCAAGCGGTCCGAGAGTTCCCTCCGGCGCTGGCGCGTGATGAACTCGTTGACCAGAAACTCGCCCTCCAGCTCCGCCAGCTGCAGCTTCGAATAGGGCTTGCGCTTCTTCCGTGAGCGGCTGTGGATCGGGTACCAGGGCGCGCCTGGGTGGAGATGAACCGCAGGGTTGGCCAGAGGATTGAGGGGCAACCAGCCCAGTGCCCTCCACCCTTCCCCGGAGCCTTGCCCCTGGCACGCCACCTGGGACCTCAGATTCTCTGTGTTCCTTCTCCTGGCTGGTGGGCATCCCAGAAACCTTTCCCATCCAGATCTTCATCCCTGTCTCCTTTCCCACTTTCACTGGGCACCCTAGCCTCCTGAGCCCTGCCTCCCGTTGCAGGATCGGTGGCCGTCGAAGGCCCATCTCTCACTCTTCCCCTACCTTCTCCTTTATTTTCTTCTTCCCTACTTCCTGGCCCTCTCCTCTCCCACACCCTCCAGGACTGGATCCCAGGAGAGTGTGAACCTAACATTAGCAAGTGGCTAAGAGTAGATCGTATCCAAGGACCCGTGGAAAGCAGGGTCCTGGCTCCGTCCCTCCTGCTTGTGGGGAAGTCTGCCTTAGGATCCCGCTTCTCTGGAGCCCCTGCCCCCTCCGGCCTCTGGCTAGCAAAAAAGGAAACCTCTGCCGTTCTTTTATGGGGATATTTACATGTTTATAGGGCTCACCCCACCACCCGCACTTCATTCTCAAAGAAGCTCTAACTTTCCACTCATTCTGTCACCCCAGGCGGCCCCAGCTCGTCGCTCCCCGGCCCGCCCAGGTAGGAAGCCCTCACGTGGCGCGCACGATTGGGCCGAGGTCCTTACCGCTGGCCGAGAGCCCGCTGCCGGGGTTCAACGGCGATACCAAGCTGCCGGGGTCGCCCGCGCCGGCGCCCTTGTTGCCTTCGTTGAGTAGGGACGAACTGGAGTCGGATTCCAGCGACTGGCACGAGGGCGGGTCGTGCGGAGGTCCCGTGCCGCCGTCGCCACCGCCCGCCGCGTAGTCGTACTTGAAGCCGAGCGCCGGCGGCCCCGACGGCTCCAGCGGCAGCAGCGCCGCTGCTCCGGGTCCGGCGCCCGGGTCGCGCCCGCGCTCCTCGCGCTTCAGGCCGCCACCGCCCTCGGCGCACGGCTCTCGGTAGTAACCCTTGCTGTCCTCCACGCGCGCCAGCTCGCACGTGCGGCCGAAGGGCGGGTTGAGCGACACCGGGCTGCCGAGATAGGGCTGCGGGTAGCCATTGCACGGCTCAGCCGACGGCCAAGGCAGCGAGCACACATTGTCGCGGCGCGGATAGGACAGCGAAGGCAGCCCGGGCAGCTGCGCCCCGGACGCGCGGAAGTTGGGGAAGTAGAAGGTGTCTCCCGTGTGGATGTTCACCAGCGGCCCCACAAACCCGGGATTCAAGAGATTATGCTCGCCCATTTCCGCGGGGCCAGACCGGCAGCTTCTACTTTATTGCTATCTGACATTAAACATAGTTAAACCTGCGCCGGCCACCCATTGGCCGCCCTGCTCACGTGGGTGCCGCCGCCAGGGGGAGGGGTGTGGACAGCGGATTCGCACCCCCCCCCAAACCCACACACACACACACACACACCCCGCACCAACTCCAACTTCTCCCATCCCCAACCCCAGGTGGGGGCTGGGGGGGGGGACCAAGGTCTAGGGCAGGTCTGTTCGCTGAATTATGTTTTTGTTTTTGTTTTTTTTTTTTTTAATCACATAAAACCTAGGGCAGAGAAGTGAAGCAATAGCCAGACGCGGGACAAGAGGGAAAACGCCACACCAAAAATACTCACACATACACACCGGCCCCGCAGCCCCGCCCCCAGATGTGTTATCTTATCACCAACAGCTGGCCCAACACAGCCCGTCCCTCTTTAATTAGCTCCTTTATTAACTAAAACCGTTGGAATTTACAATATCTCCCCAATAAATTACTATTAGATATTGTGTCATATAAAGTTTACTGGCTGTTTAAGGAGACGGATGAGCCCTTGGGTCGGGGTTTATTTACAGTGGAGGGAAGTGGGGGTAAGGACAGGTTTTCCTGCCGCTATTTCTCCCAGCCCTACTCCTGCTGGGCTCTTCCTCAGCACCTTCCCCTTAGGCATTCGCGAAGACATTTGGGGTCCTCTCCCTATCCCCCCACCCAAGGCCCATGGAAACTCAGTCTTGCACCACAGCTGGGAGCCACCCCAGCCTCACACCTCCCCTAACCTTTGGAAGAAGGATGCAGAAGAAGCAAGAAAAAGAGGCGCTTAGCTCCAAAGGGACCTACTTGCTTATTCCTGAAAATCGGGGGGTTGGAGCTACTCATCTTCTGACTTCTAGAGGGACTAAGGAGCTTCTAGGGATTGGGGTGTTCTCAGATTTTTAGCAGCGTGAGACTCCAGCTCCCTAGCAGGGCTTGGCTGCCGGGAGAGGCTCCTGCTTCCCACTGCAAAGGATATACCCACACCCCAGAACTGGCCCAGCCTAGCTTTGCAGAGGGCTAGGGGAGGTTGCCTCCTGAGGTGGGCTGGGAGCCAGAGGGTTTGAGATTTTATTTACGGAGCAAATCTCAGAAGCCTCCTTCAGAAAAGTCTAAGAATCTAGCGCTCTGGCCACTGAAGTGATGATCTGACACTTGGCCCCCCCACAGCCCAGCCCAAGTGGATTGAACAGAAACTCAAAATAGAGCCCTCCCAAACCAGATGTGCCTTACGGGAGCCACCGAGAGAAAACGCTTACATTTCTGTATATGCTTATTTCAAACTCCTACACAAAGCATGGTTCAACTAATACAAGATTAAATTGTTCAGCGACAGTCCAAATACCGCAAGACACTGGAAGATTTAGAGAGCGTTGGAGAGACTGAGAGGTCGAGAGAATAGAAAGGAAACCCACGTAGGTGAAAATTGTCTCTGAGAATGAGGCAAAGCCACAAAAGCAGACGGAAGACAGAAGATTTTCATCTCCCTCTTTTCCTTGTTCTCTCTCTCCTCTCTTCTGCAGGATGCGGCAGAGAGAACGCAGATTCTTCGAATTCCACGGCCCCCCTCGCGATTTCATATTCCAAGCCCTAGCTGCTCACTCCGACAGCAATGCGTCCCCGCGGGCGCCCTGCCGGGGACTGCGCAGAGCCTGCCCCTCCGCCCCTCGCTGGGCTGGATCGTCTCCCCTTTCCCCCCGGCCTGGCCCCTCCGCCCTCAGGAGCCTGCCCTGCTGGGGCGCCTGGTCCACATGCTGGAACCCAAGCCGAGCCGAGGGCTGCCAACTGCTGGGGGGCACGCCGAGGAATGGGCCAGAGACTCCGCCTGGCTTGGCTTTTTCTGTGCTGAATTGATGGAGGGGCTGCGAATTCCATGTCACAGCAACCCTCACATTTTTTTCCTCTGTTCAAGACGCATTCATGAGCGTCACTGACAATTGTTCCTATATTTTTTTTTCTGAGGGGCTAATGTTGATTGTCAAGATAAACAGGGTGTGACTTTAATTCGGTCGCTGATAGCAGTTGGAACACTGCACCAGCAGCGGGGTCTCCGCCCAGGCTCTCCGGGCCTCGGCGCGCAGCCGCTATTGTTGGCGTGGGGGGCGCTGGGCTAGGCTCTGCCGGATACTCTCCGGCCTTTGTGGCGTGGGATCTTCTCCCCGTTCTCTTTCGCGTCCCCGGATGACTCCGATCGTCTAGAAGACGGACCGCAGGACAGAGAGCGGGAGCCTCGGCGCATCCTCCCCCAGCTCGCGGATCTCTGGCCTGGAGCTCGGCCGGCTGCGCTCCCTGGCCAGGCCGCTCCGAACGCGCGCAGCAGCGGCCACAGGGCGGCAGATGCCGACGAAATGAGGATGGGCTGAGGAAGTCCTTTTTCAATACACGCACTTGTCTCGGCCCGATTTGGCTCTGTCCAAACAGGCCATTTTCTCTAGGTTTCGGACTTTAGGCACAAACCCCTTCCTTCTACGCAGTCGACCCCGATTGCAGTCGGAGAGCGCAAGCCAAGAAGTCATCGGCAAAATTCGCATTCCAGGTGTCTTGCTCCCTCAAGCCCTCCCGCCGCGAGCCCAGGGGTTTTCAGGACCCTACCGAGGACCCAGGCAATCTAAGTGTCCAGCCCCAGCAGGCACCACCGTGGCTTTGTTCGCCTCTAAGAAATCCCGCCGCACACGCAACTCAAGCGCCCCTTCTTTAACCAGGCTCGGACAAAAACGCCGCTCCCGGCCTGGGTCCCCAGGGCCGGCGGGAGGCTCGGGTGCAAAGCTGCCAATCTAAATGCGGCTTTGGCGAGAGGCGCTCGCCGCCGGGAGCGGTCTAGGGCTGGGTTAGGAGGCTAGGAGAGACTCGCAGCCCCCCGACGCTGGGCAGCTGCGTCCAGCCGGGTCCGACCCGCCAGCGCTGCGCTGCCCACGCGCAGAACTACAGTAGGTCGGACCGCAGCTCTGGAACCGCCGCGCGATTGGTGCGCCCTAACTCTGTGGGTTCATCGGAACGCAGAGCTAGACAAGGGGTGGCTTGAGCGTTGGTCCCTCGGCCACCCGTTCCCACCGCAGCTGGCCCGGCTCCACCGTGCCCCGCTCATTAACTCCGGGGCTATGAAAGCTGAAGGCAAGGCTTCGGACCAAGGCTTTTCTTGCACACCCGAGGCAGCCGGTGTCCTGCAGCACCCTTCCTCGCCTTCTCTGTGCCTCCACCCCTCCTTCCACATCCTCGGGGCCGCCGGTGAGGATGAGACAATTATAAAATCCATGCCTTCCCTGGTGGCAGGGACAGAATGGCTGTGGGAGGCACAGGCCGCCAGCGATCACTCCCACTCGCCTGCCAGCCCAGGAGGTCGGAAATTAGTAGGTGCGGTGCTGTCTTCTCCTTGGTCCGCCAAGACCTCTGCTGGCCCTGGCGGCCCAGTTCAAGGTCACTGTCTGATTTGCAGAGAGCGGTTCTGCCGCTTATGCAAATGAAACAGGGCCTGGGTCCCAGAAGGGACATTAGTGAGAGCTGGTCGGGCAGCGGGAGGGGAGATAACAGCCGCCCATGGGGACAGCCTGGGCCCCTGCAGACCGCCGGACCCTCTCAGTCTCACCCCCTGTAGCGGTTCAGGCTTGGAGGGGGACCTTTGTAAGGTAGGGGTAGGGGCTCAATTTCCTTCATTGCTCCCAGGCTCCTGTAGGGATCAACGCCCACCTTATTCCCGACCCTTCCTTCGAAGACTGGGACTGAAAGAGCAGACCGGGAGACACCCCCTCCTTCCCCAGGTGCTGCTTTTGGGCGATCCGCAACCTGGAGAAGGGGCTGGACAAGGCTGAGTGAGAGAGTTCCGTCCAGCTTCCTGGCTCACTCAAGAGCTCGGGGACAAGAGTACCTCCTCCCATCCCTCGCATGGGGCTCCTCTGAGCCCCAGTCCAGATCCACCAGAATACCCTAGTCCAATTACCCTTGTGTGTGTGTGGGGGGAATAGGGCGGGGGGGTAATCCCAGGAAGGACCATCCGGGAGATGCCCTCTGCATGCCTAGCTGGGCCATCCCCCATATCTCCCCATTCTGTCTTTCCCGCGGCGCACTAACAGTTAAACACCTCCCCAGCTCTGACATTTTCCACCTCCACCAGTAGAGGATCTCCTCCGCCCGGTGAATTACTGAGTGTCAGGAGAGGTGTGGGGACCAAGTTCACACACACCTCATCAAACGCCACACCCACAACCGCCTGCGACGCATCGCAGCGCCCCAGGCCTGACTTCGAAGCCGGCTGGGGGTGAGCACTACCCCCAGTACCCGCGCCCCTCGGCCCGACCCCTCTGGCTGTGCCCGGGTCGCCCGCCCCCACCACGGCTCCGGGGAGGAGCTGAAATCTGCCAGAGGGGGTGGGTCTGCTCCACACAGCTATTCAGCTGCCTCCCAAACCCCAGGGCCCTCGTCTGGGGCAACGGGCGCCAGCGGACAGGGGTGGGAGCAACCGACAGAGGGGGCCGGCGGGGACTCGAGGATGCACCGCAGACCCCGAGCTGGGCTGGACGAGCGGGGATCCACTTACCGTTGGAGACCGAAGGCGGAGGTCTTCAGCCTCTAGAAACCTTCCGGCTCCCCCCCTCCCCGAGGCCGCCCGCAGGCCCAGCGGCCACAGCCCAGGAGGGCGGGGCGCGCGAGGCGGAGGGAGCGGCCGGCGGCAGGCGCGCAGGGGCTGAGTTGCTGGAGCATCTCTGGAGAGGCCGTCTTTTATGGGCGTTATTAGCGCCCCTGTCTAGACTGCAGATGACACCTCCTCAGTGTGTAAACAGAGGCGACCGGCTCCGGCGGGAAGGGGATGGCGCGTCTACAGGGGCCCCCCCGGAAGATCAAGGCCTACCCCCCCCCCCACCCCGCGCCTGTGCTCTCGGTGATGTCAAGGTCAGAAAGACCTAGTCACGGTCAAGGCTAAAAGAGGAAGAGCCTGGTTGGTTGCTAAAGAGCTCTGGCGGTGGCGGCCTCTTCCTCCTCCTCCTCCTCCACCCCCCTCCTCCTCCCAGAAGCCCCTCGCTCCCCAGGGCCCCTCGCTCCTCCACCAGCGCAGGTCTAGAGATACATCTGCCCCAACGGGGCCTCGCAGCTTCTTAGGAGAGGGCTCTGAAACCATCCAAGACCTTCCGGGCGGATCTTAGGGTGGGGAGCCCTTTTGTGAATAGAATGAGGTCACAAGGGAGCTGCGGCAGGCCAGGGCTGTCAGGAGAGACGGCGCCTATGGGGGGGGCTGCCCTTGCCTCGAACCCCCCACCCTCCCCACCCCCACCCCATCCCCCACGCCCTCCCTCTACCACCTATGGGTCAACTTCAGGACCCAACAGCCCGCAGGGGTGCTGCTGGCCTGTGGGTTCCTGCTGCTGGGCTCCTGGCTGAAAAACCCATCTTGCTGGCCCCTAGTCTGGAGACTAGGACTTGTGGGGAAGCTCCCCCCCCCCACACCCCGCCATCATCATCAGCAAACTCCAGGAAGGATCTGAGTTCTCCCTGGCAGCCTCTGGGTGAAGAGACCCCAGCCCACCTGCCCCCACTCCTCTCCTCAGGCAGGTGGGGGAGTAGGGGGTGCCATCAGATTATAAAAGCATGGAAGCCACCATCCCAGGGAAAGCTCTGGGCTCCTTAGCCCCTTGCTCGTGCATTATTTGCCTTTGCTCCCAGCCTTATTCTAACACAAACACTGGTAGACCAGCCTTGAAGAGGAAGGACTTTTTGTGGATGTAAATAATGGAGAGGAAACACACTCTACCGCCAAGACAGGGTGTGCTGGGTGACGACCTCCACTTACACACTTGGGTTCATAAAAGCCGGACACGTGTGAGCACACGCACCCTCACGCTCACGTACTCCTTCCCAGAGACGTCTCACAGCGTCCCCAGTGATGGCGCCCCAGACAGAGGAAGGAAAGGTCCCTCCCCAGAACACGCCCGCTCAGAGTGCCTGCCTACTCCTAGCGAGACACATCCGCAAAGTCAGTCCGGGCAGGCGGCATAGAAACCCTCCAGAATCCATCCAGGATGGGAGAGCTCCTGACAGCCTGGCTCCAGCAGAGCCGCGGTCCTTGCTGGGGTTACCAGCGTCCCCTGCTCCCCCCAGTTGCCTGCCTGAGGTTTCCTCTGCACCTTTCCTTTGCCTTCAACCGTCTGGGGTCTCGAGTTGGGGGTGTCTCGGTGGAGGAAGACTCGCTCATTTGACTGTGTATGGGTTTTGTGCAGAAGTAGGAGGATCCCTTGGAGAACTCTGGACTTCTCTATCCACCAAGTGCCCCCTCCCCAACTTTCACTGTGTTTATGTCTTTGACATGGAGCTTCCCAAAAGAGCCAAGAGGGCTGGGGGACAATATCAATAGAGCCCCGGGCTCTTGTCCACTTAGTTCCCTTTTCTGACCACACACACACACACACACACACACACAGAGAGAGAGAGAGAGAGAGAGAGAGAGAGAGAGTCTTCAATGCTTTCCATTCCAGGGGAGACTCCGGGAGGCTTGGAAGAGAGATGGGGTGGTGGGTGGGGAGAGAAAGGGGATGTGGAATTGAGAATGAACCCTATTCCTGGGCAAATCCCCTACTCTCTTATATTTCACTGCCCACCATGGTGGTCAACCCGGAGCTGGTGTCAAGTAGAACAGTACTGGCAGCCACAGCAGCAGTGGAGCCCCCAGGAAAAGGGAATTCTTCAGGCTCTTTGTCTCTCATGCTGTGTGTGTGTGAGAGAGAGAGAGAGAGAGAGAGACCCCAGAAACATTTAAACATTTATTCAAATGCAATTTTAAAAGCTTCAGTCCCATCAGGCAAAGGGAGAATGGAGAACTCTGATTTCCAACCTGATGCCTCCAGTTTTTCTGGGCCTTGGGAGAGGAAAAATATTATATATAAATAAAAATTGCTGCAGTAAAGATTTAATCTGAGATAACATTGTTTTAGGCTATATTGCTTTTTAAAAGTCTCTTAACCTGACAACTTAACGATCTCATTAACTCTGCCAGATAGGGAGATAGGCACAGACGCGACAAGGAAAACAAATTAGTGGCAGTGTCTACATGGGCTCCCAGGAAGGCTAGAGAGTAAAAGTGAGGTTGGCTTGGCAAACTGGGGGCCCAAGGACTCCCAGCAGCCCCGCCCATTGGCCTAGGTTAGTGGGAAGAAAAGAGTTCTGCTGAGCTAGGCAGGCTGGGCAGACCTGCACCAACCCCAACCCTAGCCCAGACTGGCTGCAGGGGTTTGGGAGCCTGGGGGGCAGTAAGGGCCTCAGGAGCCTCCCACCACTCTGCTACTACTACCTCCCCACCCCCAGCTTCTAGTTAGCACAGCACCCTCTGAGCACCCAGAGCCAGAGCTGAGCCTCAACTATTAACTGCAGTGACAAGCAATGGGCTTTAGTCACTCACCTGTCTCCGGGCAGTCACTTGCCAATCAACGTTTCACTTCCTGGACAGACGTGCAGCTAAACTGGGTATTAGCATAGGAAGAGCTTTTCTCCTGCCTCAATGGTAAAGACTGCACCTATAACTCAAAGAACTCAAGCGGAGCCAAGTAGGGGTTTGGGATCAGCCTAAGTGGGGGTGCTGTGTGCCCTCTGCTCCCTGCCTCTTTGGCTGTATAGGGGCACCAGGCATCAGAGATGGCCCTGAAGAGCCAGTGGCAGAACTGGTTTCAGAAGGAACCTGAACAATAAAATCATGGCAAAAAAAAAAAAAAAAAGATTTTATTTTAAAAACAGGTTTGTGGATTTTTTTTGCATTCAGTACATTGTCATTCAGACATCACAATACTATATACAGATACACAACATTTTTTCTTTTTAAAAAAAGAGCCTGTTTCTGATGGACATTTCAAGAGAACACTGTTTTGTAATGGGCCAGTGGGAAGGGAGGAGGTGAAGGGGCCCCTAGGACACCAAGCTGGCCTTGGAGGAGGAAAGCAGCGTGTGGCTGATCGGGCTCCAGTTCTACTTGCCTCCTGGGCTGCTGCTCCTCTACTGATTTCCTAGGGATGTCACTCAAAGTGAAAGCGTGAGGCCTCTTCCGCGAGCCACGGCCTGGATGTAGGGAGGTGGAGAGGAACTCTGCGGGGTTGGGGGCGGGACCCACTCTCCATCCCCTTGGAAGAGAAGTTTGCCCTTAGGAAGAAGTTCTGCTGTTTGCCTAGCCCGGCCCCCAAGCTCAGGGGTGGTGGTGGTGGGGTGAGCGCACCGAGCAGCGCCGCTCGGTCTTCCTCCTCCCCGGATTTCCACGCGATGACCGAGCCGCCGGCGGCGGATCGCGGGGAGGCAGCGGGGGCAGGGCCGGGACTGAGAAAATGCTGTTCCTTGGTTGCAATGCAAGGGTCGGGGCTTCTGTGGACACAGACCCGAAAGAGAGAAAACCCAGCGGCGAGCTCCGAGCGGGTCTATAACTCAGCCGCGGCCGGATGCCTACGAATGATCATCGATATAACGCGATTTGTAAAATATGCACAGAGAAATCTCAATGGGAAATCGTGCCTCAGGAGTGCGGGACAGACAGAGGGGAAAGAGGAACTGCCGGGAAGGCAGGGGCTCGCCGGGTGCTGCGGCTCCGCACGCCCGAGGAGGGCGATCCACCAGCCTGGCCGGCGATGGGGTCTTCTGGGGCGCCCTGGCCCTGCCTGGGTTCCGATGGTTGGGCTCTCGGCCGCCCCGTCCTCGTCCTTCTTAGGGGCGGACGAGGGCGAGTAGAAGCCTCCTCCCACAGCCACCTCGACCCGCGTCCAAAGCCGCTGAGGCCTGGCGGGCTCCTCGGGCTTGGGGTTGAGGCTGGGGTGGGATACGGAGCAGGCAGGCGAGGCCTCTCGGCCTTCCGTGGGCGCGGTTCCTCTTTCTCGTCAACGTTCAATACTCGTCCGCACCGGCGCAGCGTCCTTCGGTGGGCTCGGGCACGGTACAAAGCGGCGACATAAATAGGCGGGGCGGGCGGCGGGGGGCGGGGGGCGGTCAGGTGGAGTGGAGGTGCGGCGCTTTCGATTTGCTGACCACCTTCTTCTCTTTGACTCGGCGGTTCTGGAACCAGATGGTGACCTGGCGCTCGGAGAGGTTCGTGGTGGCTGAGATGCGCCGGCGCTTCTCTTTGGTGATGAACTTGCTGGCTGCGTACTCTTTCTCCAGCTCCTTCAGCTGCACCTTGGTGTAGGGCACGCGCTTCTTGCGCCCACGCCGGTAGCTGCTCACCTCGGGCTGCAGGGGAACCACGTCTGGGGGAGGGGAGAGAAGGTACGTGAAACGCGCGGCTCTGCTGGGCGGCGACTCCGAGGGGACCCGCGCGCCGCTCTGCCTGGTGAAGCCCCCTAATCCTTTGTACCTCTGATATTAGCAAGGTCACACGGATACTCGCCGTAGGCACAAACTTGGAGGGGGTGCCAACAACTCAGTAATTCAGTTAATGCGATTTAAAAAAAAAATCAAAACGAGTGTAAAAACTCCATGATGAAAAAATAAATAAATGTTTCAAATAAACACAGAATCAGTACAACTGATTTCTCCTTTAGACCTAGGCTGGGATATGGCTCTGCAGGGCCTCCTCTCCCTGGCCCCTTACAGGACCAGGCCCACATGCCATCCTAGCTGCCTGCTGGCTTGACCAGGATTCAGAAAGCCCTCCTTCCCGCAGTATCTAACTTTCGGGTGCCCATCTTGGCTTATTCCCCGTCCCTTTGGGACAAGAAGGAGGTCTGTTTTACATTTGGGGGAGGGTATGGCAGGCAGAGGGGTCACCATCAGTGGGCACAGACCACCAAGTGGGTCTGCCTGCCTCTGGGCGCTGGTTCTGCATCAGGGATCTGAGGCACCAACGGATAAAGAGAAGCAAAGTTTCCCACGGTGCAGGCGGACTGGAACTGGGGCTCCATGTTGTGAACCACCAAGCAACCAGGGTGGGAGGTCCTGGCCATGGAGACACAGGAAACCAGGTTCCTGGATGTAGGAGGGGGCCTGGTCCCCCCCCTCCCCCAACCAGACAGAATAAATTCTGCCCCAACCTCCTCCCCATTCGGTTCCTTTTAGAGTGCAGGAAACTGGTTACATTCCACAGAGCAAGCCTCACCCTAAACCCTAAACAGGTCGTCATCCCAACCCCGTGCAGTTCCTTTCTGTAGGCTCTGACGATTTCACCAGGGCGAAACCCAACATGGCACTTCCAGGCTCACTGTCCAGTCCACCCTCTGTCCTGCCAGTGAAAGGTCCCAGCAAAGCTTGCTAGGGGAGGTGGAGAGCTGGGGGGAATCATCGGATAACCCAGTCCTCACCTTCCTCAGGCAGAAGCCAGCGAGTAGGGCGGAATCTCTGGGGTTCCCGGAACCCATCATTCTTACTGCCCTTACAGGCCAGAGTGAAGACCCAAACTCCTTCCCTGGCATCCTCATCAACCCCCTCGCTACACCTGTCCCCATTGGGTCTGCTCTCTCCTAGGGGCGTCTACCCAGGACAAGAACAGGAGTCCCATCCAACACAGGTAGAAGGGAAATAAAAACTCTCAGGAAGGACGTGTCGGAGAGGGGTCCTCTTTACGGCGACAATTTCTCAGGAAAATTGCTGGACCTGGGATTTTTTTTCTGCCTCTGTATAAATAAGCCAGGTTTTTGTTTTTGTTTTTTTTTAATCTGAAAAACAAAACAACTCCCCTTTAACAGATAAGAGCTTTTAAAGTTAACAAAGATTTTTTTCTTAGAGGATAATTTTTAAAAATTCTCAGTTTTCAAATATATTTTATAGATGTGGTTGTGATTCAGGAAATTGATGATTCAAGGACAAGAACAAAAATGAAGAGGGTGAGTGGTGATACCATGAGATTTTGTTTGTCTGCTTTTGTTGTAAATTCTCAGAACATTTCTTCGGGCTTATTGTATTAAGCCTATTTTAGACGCTCCAGAATCTGAGGCTCAGTGTGGGTAAAATAATTTAAATGGCAAAGCCAGGCTTTAAACCCAGACTTTCCTGACTTGCAACATAACCATACAGTAAGTTTTAAGATGCAAACAGGCCGCCTTGTACCGTCCAGTGTTAAGACATCTCCTTGGCCCTTGACAGTAAAGTGCAGTGGAGGTGGGTCTTCCTTTCTGAATTAACCAGATAATTGTCTCTGGTTTTCAACATCACTCATAATTACTTACCTAATTTTAGATCTCTAAATGCCCACTCTAAATCCTCAATGGGATTTCATCAACATAACCCTTAAAAATATCACCTTTAAAAAAGGGTCTGAATAGGTTATATTTCTCTACAGGATGCCCAGGCTTGACCTGGTGGAGTTTTTGCATGGATCAGACCAAGACGCAGGTTTTTGAGGGAAACAACTCCAGCCTTGTCTTTCCACGGAAGCCCCCTTGCATTGTCTGCTGCCTTGTCTGGAGAGGAAGCCTGCTCTGCAGATATGGAAGCGTCTAGTAACTCAGATCTTGAGTTGTATCTACAAGGCCTAAAGGGAGTGGGGACTTGACCATCACTGTTACCAACACAGCTTCCCCACTCTCCCTCCATCACACCTGGGAGCCTGGCAGACACCTCTGAGGCTCCAAAGCTCCACCATAGTGTTCTCCTAAGAGCCCGAGGGGTCCCTGGCTACAGCTTCCACAGCCCCCTTCTCTCCCACAAGCGGGCTCTGGGTTCCCAAGAGGGGCCCAGACCAGCTAGAAACCCAGCCAGCTGCTCTTCTCAACCCAAAGCCAAAAGCTTTCAACAGAGACTTCCAATGCAGTCCACTTCTTCTTCCCCCTAAATCCAGTCTCTATATCTAATTCTCTCCTGGAATTTCTGCCTCCTGCTGTCAAAAAAAAAGTGTCTACACTCACCATAGGAAGGAACAAAACAAAACAAAAACTCAGAGCAGTGAAGCAAGGGTCTGTATAATTGGGAGACAGAAGAAGCCACAACACATCTCAGCCCTAATTATCGGGATCTCTCTGAACAATTGCCGGCATCTCCCACACCAGCCCAGACTGCTATAGACAAGGGTTCTGAGAGCCAGAGGCGCTGAAGAGAGACAGTGATGTTTATGCCTAGATGCCGCTGAACAAACCACAATTGCATAGACAGAGTTATCTGGAAATCTCGCTACTTCTAAAAGATCTCTGTGTGGGTAGAAAGATGGAGGGTGTCTGAAGATAATTTCTTTTTCATCTGCCTCCTGCCTGGACCTCTGCACTCACCCAGATACATCAGCCGGGTTCTGTTTCCACTCGGGAAGTGCGTGAGCTCAGTGCTGCTGAGGCAAGCCGCAAGTCTTTCATATGCATTTCCATGCTGTCGTTTGCAAGTGTATTAAATCTCTACTGGGCTGTATTATTTTATTTCAGAGATATTTTTCTCCAGGAGGCTATGATCAAAACTGTTGACTTTCAGTAGGGTTTGCTGACTTTTTTCTTTTTCTTTTTCTTTCTGAGGATCTTTATTTCTGAGCTCCCCTCCAGTCCTATCCTACTCTGCATGCATTCACCCTAAACCCATGAGCATTGCTGCAGGGCTATGCCCTCATCCACAGTGGGATCTGGGAGCTGGCAGGCACCTCTTCCCCACCCGTTGGCACAACCATCTGGTTCCAGTGCTTCAGATTCCCGTTGGACCCCCAATGCCTACAGAGCTTTCTGTTCTGGTGATAAAGAGAATTACAGGGTTGTCTCTCTATCTGTGTTGAGTACCTACATGTGAATCGCCGCTCTTCCAGAAATGTGTTGTTGTGTGCTTCCTATGTAGCAGTTAATGAAAGAAATCATATTACCTGATGATATCATAGCTGATGCAAAGTAGGTGATATGTGACAGCAGTATAGTAAAACTGCATGAGTCTCAATTCTGGCAATTCTGGGCACCTAGTGTGGGTCCCATCCTGGTACTGCATTATATTGTACTAAGCAATCTTGCAATATTTTCATGAATGCTACTTGCTACCCTCTCTAACATCATCCAGGGATTTTTCTTCATCTACGTCCACTCCCAGTCTTGGATATGGAAGAATATCAGGCTCGCCCTTAGAAGGTCTTTGGGTCGTGCTTTCCAACGAGAACAACCCTTGGCCCAGCATGTGGAACTCGGGGAGGGTGGCTCTCTGGGCAGTATGCAGAGGTATCTGTGGTTGTTCTGAGAACCCTGTGTAGCCATCAAAGGAGGACTGGCTGTCAGCCACTAAGACCTGCTTACAGGGAGAGCAGGCTCACATGTGGGGTCCCCTAGACCCCAGAACAGGTGTCTCAGCACAGGATGCAAGCTCCTGATGTGGTGGTTCTGGGAAGCACGGGACAGGTCTCCCCCACCTCCTTGGGTAGGGGTGATGGGAGGCACGGGAGCTTCTCCTGGTTGGAGACAGCCTCCACGGCAGAAGGGAATTCTCCCCTTCCACAGCCGTGCAGGACCCAGGGGTCCCCAGCTCTTGGGGGGGGCTGCCCTCAAGGCCCCCCAGGTCTTCCTCACTTCTCATCACCAGCCCTTCTTTCTGTGTCTGGCCCAGCGACTGGCTCCAGCTGATCTGGGGAACTTGACAGTGGGAGCCTCCAAGGCATTCTAGTTCAGTATATACCACCCGCCAAGAAAATTCAAGCCCCATTCCCTCTCCAGCGATTTTAGCTCTTCTTTTCCCTCAACAATCAGGAAACTCGGGCTGATTTTTAAAAATGAATCAAGGTAGAGGAAACCCTACATTTCACTAGATCCTGGCAAATCAGACCCCTACTTAAAAAATACTATCCAGTGCCTGTACGATCCTGAAAATGCAGGCAGAAACCGTGAGAGTTCTTATCACCCCCACGCCCCCAATTCTTCGATGAGTTGAGGGCTTTCTCCTGGAATTTGGGGCACGGGAGGCTCACCCCCACCCCCAGCCCAGACCGGAAGCGGGGTTAGGGGCAGGGGCCTTGCGCGAAGCTGCAGCCGGCAGGGGGAGGATGAGGCGAGCTCCCGACCGGAGCCGAGCCGGCGGCCCCGGCGCTCGGGCGCCTGTGATTGCTTCACTCGGCCGGGCAGCTCCGGAGAACGTGTCGGAGCAGATTTCTTCCCCAGCGCATTCCTTAGCGCAGCTCGCCCGGCCGGCTCCATCGGCAGCCCAGCCGAGCCGGCGCGCCGAGGCCAGACGGCGGGGGTGGCTGGGGCGCGGAGCCCGGGGGCAGGCGGGGCGGGGAGGGGTCGCTGGCGGCAGCGGAGCTCGGGCCCCTTCCTTACCTGGGAAGGGAGACTTCCAGAGGTGGGCGGACTGCGACTGCTCTTTGGAGCAGTACACCTGACTGTCCCAGCCATTGGAGAGAGCCCAGTGCTGGTAGCCTTCGACCGGGATGAGCGCGTCGTGACGCGGCTCCGGGTGCCCGCTGATCCCGGGCACCACCGACACGTCCAGGTAGCCGGGCATCGCCTGGTAGGAGCTAGCGAAGCTGGGGTAGAAGGCGAACTCCTTGGCCCGAGAAGACAGGTCATCACCCGGCAGGGCGCCCGACGGCTCCGGGTACTTGTCGCCCGGGTGGTAGGCGCAAGGCTTCTGCTGCAGGTTCACGTTGTGTGACAGGCGGCAGCCGTAGTAGCTGCCCCCGAACGGGTAGCCGTAGCCCAGGGTGGCGCTGGACGAGGTGGGGGGCGCCGGCGGAGGGGCGCACTGGCGCGCTGCCTCCGGGGCCGGGATGTCCGTGTAGACGGCGCCCTGCGGAGCGCCCAGGGGAGCCGGCGGGCGACCCAGCACGGGGTGCGGAAGCAGGTCGCGGCAGTGGCTGGCCGGGCAGCTGCTGCCCAGGCCGTCCATGCTCGGGGCTTTGCCGGGGCTCGCTCCGCTGCAGCCGCCCCCCGCGCCGCCTGCGCCGCCGCCGCCGCCGCCGCTGCCGCTCTCCGCCGCGCTGTCCTCATAGACGTACATAAGGCTCTCCGGCCAGCGCGGATGCAGGAGCAGCGAAGTCGTCATGACATGGTCTGCTCGAGCTTTTTAAAAACTCCACTTGCCAGAGGCAGAGAGCTAGGGAGACACCTCGCTCCCTTTTCCCCTCCTCCCTCCCCTCCTCCTCCACCTCCCCCTCCTCCTCCTCCTCCTCCTCCTCCTCCAGGAGCTTCCACCTCCCTCCGTGCATTCTCTCTACGCATGCGGGGACACTTCATTAAGAAATCCGCCGGCTCCCGCCCTCCTCCCCTTGGCGCCCCTCCCGCGGCCACGTGACGCGGTCCTCGCACGTGACGCCCAGGCTGGAGCTCCTGGGGTTCCCTCCCTTCGACGAGAGGCGGGGCGTCAAGAAGGAGGTTTGTGCTGATTGGCTCTCGGGAGGGGCCTAGGAGGCGGGCCCTGCGAGATTTAAAGGGACAGGGCGACGCCCCCTGGCTGGACCGCGGAGGGAGAGGGGAGAAGGGGAGGGGGAAGCTGAATTTAGCCGACGCAAAGGGGTCTGGGGAGGAGAGGACTGTTCCTGTGCGCCTCCCCCTCGGGTTAGGATGCGCACGGGGAGGGGGGAGGAGGCAGACCCGTACCCCAAAACCCCTCGCTGGGATTGCCAAGGTCTCTGGATTGGGGCTTGGAGCTTAAGGGTAGGGGAGAGATTGGGTTTTTAAAAAATATGATGAAGAAACTGGAAAACAGGCGGGAACGCTCAGGCCCTGGCGGACTCCTGATCTCCATCTCGCGGCTGGCTGGAGCCCGGCGCCCCGTGGCGAGCCTTGGGTGGGGACTGTGCTTTCCTTTCCGAACTTTCTCCTCGTTCTCAAAGCCCCAGTTGTGGGAAAAGGACCCTGTGCCTTCCTGCCTGGAGCGGAGAGGGCTGGGGAGACGCAACAGCCTTCGACCCCAGGGGGAGTGTGACATGATGGAGCGCGCTCAGGGGGGTGGGCACTAGACTGATACCTCAGTGGGCAGCTCGAAGTGAGATTTTGCAAAGCAGCAGGGAGTGGGGGCAAGGATTCGGTCTAGGCAAACTGGAAGCCCGAATGCCCACAGAGCTGCTCTCCAGCGCAGAGGTGTACAAAGGGAAATGTGGAAGATGGGGGCGCGGGAGGGGTCGGGGCAGTCCCCTGGAGGAACCAGGAGGGCCCCAGGAGGTCCGACCTCGGCCCAGCCAGAGCCGAGAGGAACCCAGCACATCTTCCCCAGCTTCCTTGGGGTCACTCGGCGCGAAGTATTTTCATGCGCTAAAACGTGAACGCCCGCTTACTGGTTTTTCAAAGCCCCCTGCCCGCTTCCTCCCTGTGTGCCAACTTGTCCAGGTCCTCAGTACAGTCGCCTCTTTCCGCTGGAGCATCTCTGTGGAATTGAGCCAGGGTAGCTTTCAGCACACGCCCTTGGCGAGAAAGAGATGACAGAAAAGAGGGCTGCGGCGTCGCCCTCTTTCCTGCCCCCGCCATAGGTTTTAAAGGCTCCGTGCACCCTTTCAGGCAGCTTCGGGGACTATGGCCAGGCAGTAGCCCCCCCCCAAACCGGCCTCTCTGCACCCCTCAAGCCCCAGAGCAAATGGCCGAGTCTGCGCTGAGGCCCCGGCGACCGCTTCCCCTCCTCCCTGGGGGGGCGACCACGGTGTTTGGCGGTTGGGGACGCCCGCCGTCCCCCGTGAGTTAGCCTAGGGAGCATTGTTCTTTATCAGCGCGATCTTCATCCCGCGGGGTCAGCTCAGAGTTCAGAAAGCAGGCTGTAGCCTGGGGCTCGAAACAAGCTGGCCGGCTTGAGCGCGCTTTGAGGGCGATGACGGTGGGGACAGAGGAGTTGATCGTAGCTGGGAGTCACTAGCTTGGGAAAGCGGCCACCCTGCCGCTGGAGTCCACGGTCAAGGTAAAAAAAAAAAAAAAAAAAAAAGCAAACAGGGCTTGGCCAAGTTCGATTGAGTTGTGTGACCTTGGCTCCCTCGGCTAAGGCCTGGCGGGTGGGGGTGGGGGGAGGTCCGCCAGTGTCCAGCCTGGCGTCGCCAAGGTGGAGGCCCTGGCCTCGAGTCCCGTGAAACGCGGCTCTGGGTTCCGTGCGGGCCGCCAGAGGCAACAAATGGCCTGAAGCTCCCACCCCATTCTTGGGGCCTCCTCCCGGATCTGGGCCGAGGCCACACGCTTCTACCGCGGGCTAGGACCCAGGGATGGGACCGCCAGCTTTTGGGAGTAGGGGCAGGATTTGGGGGCAGGAAGGCTCGCCAATAAATAAAATTAATGGTATGTTCTTTTCCAAGTTTATATAAGGACATTAACTATTCCTATTGCAATGAGATATAGATTTAATTAACCCGGTAACTTTACAATTCCATTTACTAGGGGCACTATGCGGCCAAAGTTTAGCGGCGGTGAAAGAAAGAGAAGGAACCAAAAGTCGCTTCTTCAGGAAGACCAGCGGGAGATGGAGCCCCCAGAGCGACTCCTGTGGCAGGGGGCGCCGGAGGGGAAAGCTCCCGGGTAAGGACGCTCAAAGCGGCTGGAGACATCGGCAAGCTCTGTGCGATCCCCCTCAGCTTTGCCGGGTTCCCCCCAGACTTCCAACGCCTTGTCAATGCAGCCTTCACGGCTGGGGCGCGCTGGGATCCGCGGGCGAGACGCAGAGACAAGAGCCCCGCGGGAGGGCGGAGGAAAGGAAAGCTTTGCTGCTTAATTAACTTTAAGCCCAGGGTCTCTTCTCTCTCCTCCCCCAGCAAAAATGTGCATCTCGCTGGGACACAAATAAAATCAAATGAAACACTCCAGGAGAATAGGCAGCAATGGAAACGTAGTAATTACATCTCCGAGGCGATCCCGCCCCAGAAAGCCGGGCGCTGGAACCCTCCGCACCACGCGGCCACACCCGCCCGGCTTCGCCTAGGGGCCACGGGGCTTCGCTGCGGATGCAGTTCGGAGAAAACCAAGAGAAACGAAAGGAAGTGTGGCTCCTGGGTTTCCAGGAAGAAAGGGTTTCCAGGGCGGAAGACGGAGCAGTAAATGACACCGAAGAAAAGTGGAAAATGGCCCCTGGGGCTCCTCGGGGGAGCCTTGCTCTGCGCTGCCGGTGCCACACCAGTCCTCAGCTCCTTCTTTGAACCGGGAAATGCTTTCTTTCAAATGCGCCAACGCATCAAGCCTGCATCTAACGTGCCTTTCCCCCCTAGAAGTGTGCGCGGGGGGCAGGCATGCCTGCGGGTTTGTGGACGTGTGTAAACTGCAGCCGCGTGGGTCCTGCAATGCTCTGCAGACTTGGCCCAAATGTGTGCCCAGAGATACACCATTCCAATAAAGGTCTCCCTGGCTGGCTGCTTCTCTGCTCATATAGGCGTTTCGTGTCCGTGTTCATCATAATCTACTTGTAAAGACATTGCTCAGGAAAAGAGGCAGGGGTCTGTGTGTTTCTCCAGTTGAGGAGTGGAACTCCTGGCCCACAGTACGAAAGACAAAGTCAAAGGTGGAACTCTTCAGCCTGGCTGGTGCACACACTTGAGGGCTGGGTGTAGCTTGGGCTCAGAGAGCGAAGAAAGCTGAGACTGGTGTGGGGGTCTGTTATTCAACGGTCAGATGTCCTCCCCTGGAAATCAGGCATCCACGTTTCCCTTCCCCATCTCTCTTTGCTCTGTCTCCTCCATATTTCCCAAGAAAGGGGGACAAAGAAAGAGCTAGAAGCTCATTTTTTTTTTTTTTTTAATGGGAGAAATTCCTGTGGGTTGAGGCTGTTGCGGAACAAAGAGGCTCGCTGCTCACCGTGGGGTCTGGATTCTGGCCCAGACTCGGGGCCTTGTAGGGTAGGTATAGAGTTTGGGGGGGGACCCCTTTCCTGTCCCGGGTCCTACCTGCAGGGCGGGAGGGGAGATAGGTGGAACAAAGTGAAGAGAGTGTCCAAGCTGCCGAGCAAAGAAAGGGGTGTCTGAGACTGAGGAGGGGGGGTCCTGGAGGGCCCATGGACAGGCGCCCTCCAGGGTGTGTCTGAGAGCTTCGACCCTCCCACAGATTCAGGAAATTCCTGGTGATACTGATGGGAAAGGAAAAGAACAGTGGCTGGTTTGGGGGCTCCCTGAGCCTGCCCTGTCTCCCCTCCTCTCTTCTGAGCGCCAGGAGGTTGGGACAGGTGAGGAGCAGGCAGACACAGGTGCCCCGGCCAGGGTCCTGACCCCTCTGGGACCTGCTCCACTTGGGTCCCACCATCCACGCAGCCCAGCCTTGGGGGAGAACCACCTGCCTCTTCTCCCAGCCTGGGACGCACCTCCTGGAAAGTGGACAGCGGTGGCCACCCTGGCATCTCTGCCTCTCTTGTTCTCCCTCCCTAGGCCCCCAGCTTGAGGAAAGATGGGACCAGGGGGGCAGAGCCATCGCTTTGCTCCTGGTTTGAGAGTTCTACTCTCCAGCCCAGACTTGCTTGTCTCTGGGCCCCACTCATTCCCCCCTTTTTGGTACCTGTCAGACATCGTGGCAATCCACTCCTCTTTGCTGCTTAGTTAGTGCTTGCTTGCAGTGTTGGCCAAGATTTGGGGACCACCCCAAGCTTCTCCTCTCTGGCACTGCAGGGATCTGTACAGGGGTCTTTTCCTGGGTTCTCCTCCAGCCTGGCCCCATAGCAGACCCTGCCTGGTGACTGGTGACAGCACTGGCTCTGGTCAGGCAGTCAGGTGCCGGCTGTCCATGGCCCTCCAGTGTCCTCAACCCTAGCCCTCTTTCTTCCACCATTTCCCTACCAAGCTCCTCGCAGAACCCCCTCCCCATCTCTCTATGTATTCTGTCCTGGTCCTCTCTGATCCTAACTCCTCCCACCCCCTTTTTCTTTTGGGGTAGCATCTCTCTTGGTCACTGGCCCCCCCTCCCCACCTCCCCCTGCATCCATTGACAAAGTCCAGGGAATAAACACAGAGTTGAGAAGTTAGCAAAGAATCCCCTCCCCCTCCTGCCCTCCCCAGAGCCCCCACTCCTTCCTCAGCTGTGGAGAGGACTCCCTGTCCCCTCCCCCTCCCCCAAAACACCTCCCCCTTTTAGGAAGCCCTTCAGAAACAGACAAATAAAACCCTCCTGGTTTTAGGGCCTGTCTGAGAGGGAAGTCCAAGTTCATTTTCAAGTTAGACAAGGGAGCTGAGGGGGGTTGGGAAGGAGGTGGAGGAGTGTTGGTTGGAGGCTGGATTGGGCTTCCTTGCAGACATCCAACAAAGGCCCCTTTTGGTCAGAAAGCCAACAAACTGAATGCCTGGAAAAGGTATTTATCACTTTTGATCATTTCCTCCATCTTTTAAAGTTCAGCTTTGGGGCTCCTAGAAGGGAGAGGTGGAGAGATCATCATTCTCTTCTTTTTAAAGATTTCCAGTTTTTTTTTTTTTTTTAAAGATCGGGAGAATAACATTTTTTGTGAAAGCAGAGAGGGGTTGGGGACCCCCATGCAGCATTCTTCTGGGTCAAGGTAGACCTGGCCCGCCCCGAAGGGCAACTTTAGGGTCAAAGATGCGGCTGAGGGGCTGGGCATTTCGCCTTGACTAGCTCGGGGACCCCCGATGACAAGGGGATGGGGGAACTGGAGTCTGGGACCCTCGGAGGCAGATGGTGGAGGGAGAATGTGTATTTCCTCATAGGGAAGAGGGAAAGTCGCATCTGAAGTGGACCACAGCCTGCTTCTCTCCATGACCAGACACCTCTAGCAGTGACAGGGAGGACATTGTATTCTGAAAACCACTGAGCAAAACACTAAGAATCAAAAGACCTCCAGAGGATGCAAAGAGGTGGATTTTAATCATCTTGATTCTTAAAACAAAGGGTTGGGGGGAGAGGCTCAGAATTCGACTGCAGAAGGAAGAAATCCCACAAGGAACAATCTTGGCCGAAATCTCTGGGGCAGGGAAGCAGAAGGGAGTGTAGCTGCTGCTGGTGATCACTTAAATCTTCCTAAAAAGACAAAGCCGGGTGCAGCTTTACTGGCTGGAGAGATATGGGGGTATACCTTTCCTTCTCTCTCTCATCTGCATTTCCTCTGCTTTGGGGGATATTTGGGGGGCACTTTCCCCCTGTGGTATTTCCTGGTACTGTCAGCAGAGTGGAGGGATTCTAGAGAACTTGAAAGAAGAATGGAGACATCCATTTTCCCTCTTGCCAAGGAATGCCGCCCTCACTTGTACAGTCAGAGAAACTCTAACTCCCAGGGACAGGAAGGTCTTTCAAGGCATAGGGCCCACCCCAGGCTCTTTGTGGCCGAGGGCATTCCTGGGGAGGATGACCACCGACTTCCAGAACTGGCACAGGGCAGGTGCTGGGGCATTTGTGGTGCAGCACAGAGGCAGCTGTGGGTGGTCAGAACAGGGATGCTGATTGGGGCAGGCTGATGGGGTGAGCTTGAAAGCAAAGGATATGTGAGCTCGGGGAGAACCCCTGGGAATCCGCCGACCCCTGCTCTCCTCAGAGGCAGGCATCTGTGTCTGGGCTGAGCTGTGGATTCTTAAGCGGCAGGGCAGAGGGACTTGTGCCATCTCTCTCCTCCTCCGAGGCCTTGGGGAAAATCCTTTTCCGCTCTGATCTGCACTTGTGATTGACAGTACTTGTAATCCTCCTTCTAGTGCCTGACTTATTAATGAACTTTGCTCCAGAAAAGTAATCCAGACTTACTCCTCTCTCATCTGTTGGAGACCTATTCTTTCCAGACAAGTAGTATGTAATATACGCTTGGTGAGGTGTTCGGGGAACTCGAGATAAACATGAACACAGATATGTGCCCTCAGATACCCATAGCCACATAATTAGGTAATCTTTAATTTTTCTGTATGTTTTTCACATAACATTTCCCTTGAATATAACAACATAGCTGTGTTTAATTTTAAGATGGTACAGGCTTTGGTTGTCTGCATGCCTGTGCTGAGCCGGTGTGCTGGTGGGCCTGCAGTGCTGTGAATTTAACCACGCACCTTGTGGTTAAGCCATCACTTTTAGCGCTCAGCTATGCAGCGGAGACAGGAGTGAGAGAGGCTTCTTGAAATCTTATTTTAAAGAGAGAATAAAGACACCAGGTCTGAGTGCATCCGGCGCCAAATCTGCAGCATGCAGAGTTCAGATCCACTTTGACTTCCGCCAACACTTGGCAGAATTGTCCTCACTCTCCATTTGGGCAAACATGGCAGAGTTTTGGCATTGGCCCTGCTCTTTCAGCACAATCTTTTTTTTTTTTTTTTTTTTTTTTTTTTTTTTTGACAGGCAGAATTAGATAGTGAGAGAGAGAGAGAGACAGAGAGAAAGGTCTTCCTTTTTCCGTTGGTTCTCGCTGCGCTTATCCGGCCGACGCACTGTGCTGAACCGAAGCCAGGAGCCAGGTGCTCCTCCTGGTCTCCCATGCGGGCGCAGGGCCCGAGGACTTGGGCCATCCTCCACTGCACTCCCGGGCCACAGCAGAGAGCTGGACTGGAAGAGGGGCAAGCGGGACAGAACTAGCGCCCCAACTGGGACTAGAACCTGGAGTTCTGGCACTAAAGGCGGAGGATTAGCCTAGGGAGCCGCGGCTCCAGCTTCCATGGGTTTTGGGAGATGCGGGCCACTTCCTAAGCCGCAGCAGAGGAGTCCCCGCCGCCGCCGCCTTGGCCGCCGGGAACTCAACAGCAGGCAACTCCTTTCCTTCCTTTCTCTCTGTATCGCTCGCCAGATCCAGGGAATTCTGAGGCTTTCTTTCACTGTGCTGATTTCTCATGTGTACATGCAGCAATTATTCAGTATTTTATATTGCACCTCCCACCCCTGCTGCCGCCCCAGGCTTACGCTTAGGGAAAGCAGCTTCCACACGGGACCGTCGATGGCCGACCTGAGAGAACAGAGGGAAGAGTACCTGTCTTGGGAAGCACTGGGTCTCCGCTGGGACCCGGAGCAAATGGAGCGAGACAGGCTCCATCACACCCACACCCTCATGGCTGCATTGGGTGCCGGCCGTGGGCTGCAATCACAGGTGGGTACATTCCCATGCGGGATAGAAAGACCAGGATGAGACCCCTGTGAGCTCTGGGCATGTGGGAGATGCCCTGGCTTCCCCTGTGCCTGGGCGTTCAGGGGTGTTGAACAGACTCCGCTGTTGGGAGGTAGGTCCCTGTGCCTCCAGGGGCTCTTGAGCTTACCCGTCAATTCCTGTTGGCAAGAAACACCCGTTGTCAAGACCAAAAAACCAGCTCCCCCCCCCCAGCCCCTACCCACCGCGGCAGGTCCCGAAGAAAAGACACCTCCCAAATTAGGAAAGGACACCCCCCTCCATTCTTCTTTTCCTTATGCCCGATCTTGAGGTAGGAAAGTGATTTTAAAAATAATCACAGCCCTGCAAGGAATTATCCAAAGAGATTAAGTGAATTCTTGGGATGGAGAGGGTAAAGCTGGATGGAGCGACAGAGCCTTGAGCACAGACTTTTGAAAAGCTGGATACATTTTAGCTGGCATAATGTTAAAGGAGGAAACAAATTATTCAGATGTTAGGAATCTTGGTATTAATTTCCCATGTAGCTCTTATTTGTTGCCATCTGAGGAGTATAATACACAGGAAATGGTAAGATCAGGTCTTAAACAGAAGCCCAGGGTGATGGTTTCCATTTGCAGTTGATTGTATCTCAAATCTACTTGTAAGCCTGGCGCACTGAAGGCATACACATCCCCTGTGTTGAATCTGATCTTTAGAATGCTTTACACTTACACACGATGAACAAGATCATAAATAGTGGTGAATTTCTCCTTCCAATCATTGCCAGTAAGAAAAAGGGGACTCACTACCTTCCACTACAAAAGGGCGAGCAGTCTCTTCTCCCCTAAAGATCACTGCTTCTCCGTTCTGGGGTTTGGGGGGGGGGACCCGGCCCTCTGGGTGCAGCCACATAAAAATGGGCTCTTCGCCAGATCTAAAAATACCCCCTGCCTCTCCAGGCCAAGTTCTCAAGGCTCACTCTTTGGTTTCTGAACCCAGACGAGTGTCTCCGGTGCTCTGCCCAGCACACCTAGAATAGGGCAGTCCTCAGAGGACTTTTCACCTGAGTTCTGTGTGGGGAATCCGCAGACTACAGGGCAAGTGCACACGCAGCGTAAGGACTGGCTGGAGGCGGCTGCTCCTAGCTAACTCTGATCACATTGGAAAAATATAAGTGGAAACCACACTTGCAGGTCTTTCTGATAACTTGACGCAGGTCAGTGCCTGTCATCACAACAGAAACTGCATCCTCACAGGGAAGGGTGCACAGAAAACCGTCCCACCGTCTCCCAGCACACTGCCCGCCTCGGCTACCTTCTCCTATTTTCTCTGCCCGTTCCCCGCTAACAACGCCAAATCTCTGCAAACAATCAGAAATTTGCCTTTTCCTTACTCATTCCAATCATCCGACGAGGTTAGCGAGAGGGATTTCTGTTGTCCGAATCCTTCGACCGTTACAGTTTTAACGTGGTTTATTACGGCGCTGGAAGATCGCTCCCTGGCCCCCGGCCCCCGGCCCCCCACCTCCACGGAGAACCTCGAGGCTCTGGACCCAAATTAAAGCAGCCGAGCCTGGACGCGGAGCCCACGCTCGTCGAACCACCCGGAGCACGCTCCGCTTGGCAACAAAGCTGCAATCGGCCTGGGTTCCGAAGGTCTCGCAGAGCGCGGGACCTCCCGTCAGCACCTCCCGTAATCTTCGCTGGAGGCCCCCTGACTGGCCCCAAAGGGGGCTTGTTCCTCACGAATGTGCCCACCGCACCTTCTGCGGAAGAAGCCAGCGGGGGCCACAGCCTCGCCCCAGACCTTCCGGCGTAGAGATGAGTCACTCGTTTAATTTTCTTCTCTCCCACGGCTGTTCCGAGAGCTCGGCTTCATTTTCTGCCTCCCGAAAACCGACGACCTCCCCAGGCAGGCCGCAGGAGGCGGGAACGGCAGGAGCCGCGCCCGAGCGAGCCCCGTGCGTTCCACCCGCCGTGAGACCGACCGGGAGGCGGCGGGCGGCGGCGGTGCTGCGGCGCCTTCTCCGTCCCGCCCCTGAGGGATGTGGCGTCCAGGGCTTGCAGGGTCCCTTCCTCAGTCCCCGGGCCGGGGGTGGGGGGCTCTCTCGGGAGGAGCTCAGACGGTTTGCACAGACTGGAGACCGAGGTCCCCGGCGCTCCCAGCCTGGTCCGAGCTACCCCGGTTTTTGTTTTTTTCCTAACTGGAACCTAACGAAATCGGCATCAGTCGTGACTGATGACTGCAGACCGGGTGGCGCCTGCCTGTCCACGTCTTTGTATTTTTGAGGGGACTCCATTTAAAAGGGAAACAAAATCAGTCGGGGAGAAACTTGTATTTTCAAACATTCCTAGAGGAACTTGGAGGTGTCGGCGCCGCCCTGCGCCTCCCGGCGCTCTCCAGGAGCGGGGTCCCGCTGCGCTGTCGCCGTTGGAAGCTGCGGGGCAGTCGCTTTCCCCGCAATCGCGCTCCAGGAGACCCCCGCCCCCAAACGCCGGTCCTCTCTGGGCTGTGCGGGAGCCGGGGGCAGACGGCGACAGGGGGTACGCGGCCCCGCACGCAGAGCCCGCAAAGGATCACGCAGGGCCCAGCGGACCTTGCAGGCCTTCTGACCGGTCTCTGGTAGGAGAAACGGCGGGAGCGCACTGCGGGGTTGCAGACTCCCGCAACCTCCAAAAGCCGCACTTGGTGGCCTTGTGCCCCTTGGGACTGCGCACGTCTCCTTCTCCGTGGCGGCGCGATTTTACCCCCCAAAGTGTGTGCACCAACGGACTGTTTCTGCCCCAAACGCTTTCCATTTCCCAAGGAAGCGCTGGCTGAGTTTCGTCCTGGGGGTTGCCGGTCCCGGCCGCTCCCTCGTTTTGCTGGTCCAGCCCGGGATCCGGCGGGTCTCAGATATGGGGCAGGGAGGGTGCCTACGATAAAACCGCAGCGCTGCAGGAGAGCAGGGAGTGTGCGGAAAGCAGTGAGGGTAGCCTCAGAACGCTGCAGGCGCGCTTGTGTGGTTCACGCCGAGCTGGAGGCCGGGAGCGCAGGTGACAGGGCACGGAGGTGCCTCCCTCGCCGGGAAGAAGCTGAAGCAGCGGTTTGCTCCCGCCTAACCCCGAGAATGCGAGGGAGGCGGTGATTTTTATTGTAAATAGTCAAACTCTCCTTGTGATGACCTCATCCCTGACAGATGTGTCTTCGGATCCTACCAGAATAAGGCACTTAAAAAAATTAAATCCAGTTTTGGAATTTATCTGATGTAAAATATATTTATTTTCTTTGGAGTTGAAGGGCCAGACAATTCTGCTGTCATGGGTTTTATTGGCTTCCTCGGCCAGTGGTACATTTCACTGGGTGGTTTTTTTTTTTTTTTTCTTCCAGTAACAAAAAGGATGTTTTAGGCATGTGTCCATTCCCAGGGTCCCCGGGACCCAGGAGTTCCTCACACCTTCAAAACACAAGAGACCAGAGAAGCCCTCCTGCTAGAAGGGACTGGTCTCTGGCATGTGGGAGACCTTGGTAGGCAACTCAGGGGAGGCTGAGCCATGTTCCTGGGAGAGGGCGGGGTGGGGGGGCAGCCTGCTGTGGCCACTTTGCTCCTGATCTTGCACTCAGTCCTCCCTCCTTGGCCCCTCCTTGTCCTTCCTGGCCCCCTCCCATCAACACTCGCCACCTGGAGACAAGTCCTCGTGGCCAGTGCTGACCTGCTTTTCTAAGAAAGATAAAGTGCTTTCAGCAGCTTCTACGGTAGGTGGGGACTGCTGGTACCCGGGTTGACCTTCCAGGTTAGTCTCCATAGCAACTGCTCCCCCCCACCCAGCTCTGGCAGCGTCTCAGCTGGACTATGGGTCCCCAGCTTTCTTTGCTGAGTTCTCAAGGGAATGTATGTGCCATTTGCTGGTGGAGGCTTTCAACACGTGGGTGTGTCCTCATCCCCCTGTCCCAGGCTTCTGTCCTCTGCCTCTGTCAGGATGTGGACAGTGAGGCCCTGGGGAAGAACTGGCTTCCTGAATGCTGTGTGGAGGAGAGCTGCCCACTGCCAGGAATCAGCCGCCTGGGACTTCATGTGCGGAGGAGTAAGTCCTTTGTGTCTGTGCCACCGTGCATGCTGGAACTGCCCTTAACACGCACGCTTCAAAATAGCAGCAGAATGTTTGTCGTCTGTCAGCCCTAATCAATGCCAATGGGTGTTCACTAACCCCTCTTTGTCCCTAAAATTTTTTTTTTTTGAAAGGCAGAGTGGACAGTGAGAGAGAGACAGAGAGAAAGGTCTTCCTTTGCCGGTGGTTCACCCTCCAATGGCTGCCGCGGCCAGCAAGCTGTGGCCGGCGCACCGCGCTGATCCGATGGCAGGAGCCAGGTACTTCTCCTGGTCTCCCATGGGGTGCAGGGCCCAAGCACCTGGGCCATCCTCCACTGCACTCCCTGGCCACAGCAGAGAGCTGGCCTGGAAGAGGGGCAACCGGGACAGAATCCGGCGCCCCAACCGGGACTAGAACCCGGTGTGCCGGCGCCGCTAGGCGGAGGATTAGCCTATTGAGCCACGGCGCCGGCCTCTTTGTCCCTAAATTAACACACTTAGTGGTTCTGTAGCGATTTGCTGTCATACATATGATTTGAGAGGTAGAGTTACAGACAGTGAGAGGGAGAGACAGAGAGAAAGGTCTTCCGTCCGCTGGTTCACTCCCCAAATGGCCACAATGACTGGAGCTGTGCTGATCCAAAGCCAGGAGCCAAGAGCTTCTTCTCGGTCTCCCATGTGGGTGCAGGAGCCCAAGCACTTGGGCCATCTTCTACTGCTTTCCCAGCCACAGCAGAGAGCTGGACTGGAAGAGGAGCAGCTGAGACTAGAACCGGCATCCATATGGGATGCCGGCACCGCAAGTGGAGGATTAACCCACTGCGCCATGGCACCAACCCCCATACAAATGATTTCAAATCTGTAGTTAGAAGGTCCAGGCCAATGCATCCTCACGGCTCTGAGCTTGGTTTAAAGTGAAACCTTCTTCCCTCTCCAGCCCAGGTTTGATTCTGCCCAGTTACCTAGAAGGGAAGAGGGGGATTTTTGGCTTCTTCAGTTCGTAACTTGGTATTTCTCTTCTCTCTGTTGTCAGCTGCTATTTCACATCCGCTAGAGGCTCAAGGGCTGAAGAGAGTTGGTAGCTGGCTCCAACCGTCCTCCTGTGATTTTGTGAAGTGGAACAAAGCCCACAAAACCAGGGCTACTATTGTAGCAAGAACACAGTGTGAAATGAAGCAGAGTTTTGGCAATTTGAGTCTTAATTTGACATATAGATAGAAATGTAGAATTACATAGGTCAGAATTTTAATAAAGAGATTTTCTGAATTATCTAGTTTGATATATTTTCTGAATTATCTAGTTTGATGTATTTTCTGAATTATCTAGTTTGATGTATTTCCAGATCTAATAAAGAGCCAACATTTGCTTCACTAGATTGTGTGCAAACACTCCCTGTCGGTCCCTCGCCAAGTGGCCAATATGAGAGCATTTTCTCCAAAGGTGAGGAAGATACATTGCCTGGCATTGGTTCCCCAGAGTTGCCCCAGCATCGTCCCTGGATATATAGCTTAGACTCACTACCAGGAAATCAATTTTAGTCTCTGACCCCTGCCAATACCAGGAACTGGGTAGCTTCCATTTTTTCTTTTCCTTTTTTCTTTCTTTTTCTTTTCTTCTTCTTTTTTTTTTCTTTCTTCTTCTTCTTTTTTTTTTTTTTTTTTTTTTTTTTTTTGACAGGCAGAGTGGACAGTGAGAGAGAGAGACAGAGAGAAAGGTCTTCCTTTGCCGTTGGTTCACCCTCCAATGGCCAGTGCACTGCGCTGATCTGAAGCCAGGAGCCAGGTGCTTCTCCTGGTCTCCCAGGTGGTGCAGGGCCCAAGCACTTGGGCCATCCTCCACTGCACTCCCGGGCCACAGCAGAGAGCTGGCCTGGAAGAGGGGCAACCGGGACAGAATCCGGCGCCCCGACCGGGACTAGAACCCGGTGTGCCGGTGCCGTAAGGTGGAGGATTAGCCTAGTGAGCCGCGGCGCCGGCCAAGCTTCCATTTTTTCTTAAAGATTTATTTATTATTTGAAAGGCAGAGTTACAGAGAGGCAGAGGCAGAGAGAGAGAGAAAGAGAGAGAGAGAGGTCTTCCATCCGCTGGTTCACTTCCCAAATGGCTGCAACAGCCGGAGCTGGGCTGATCTGAAGCCAGGGGCTTCTTCCGGGTCTCCCACTTGGGTACAGGGACCCAAGCACTTGGACCATCCTCTACTGCTTTCTCGGGCCATAGCAGAGACCTGGATCGGAAGTGGAGCAGCCGGGTCTCGAACCAGTGCCCATATGGGATGCCAGCACTGCAGGCAGCGGCTTTACTAGCCTCCATTTTATAGTTCTGTTTTGTATTCAGCTTGTAGACACTGCAGCAGCTGCCTTATCGTCAGGCTGCCTGCCAGGCTGTCAGGCCCTCCGGAGACACTAGCTTCCCTCTTCATAACCAGTGCCAAGTCCACCAGGCCAGCCTAGGGGGTTCCAGGTGGGGGAGCAGGCGCGTGAGCCTCAGCATGCCTGCGTTCAGAAAGGAAGCGCCAGTGATGGCAGGCACCAACAGAGGAAAACTTCAGTCCTTCGCTGGAGCATTTCCAAAGGCCTGGGTGGGTCAAGCAGAGAGTCTGTAGGTCCATTTAAGGAAACTCAGTATCCCGACGGTGTGGGCGGCTGGCTAATGGGGTGGGAGTCAAAGAGTGTGACATCCACTCTCCTTGCATGTGTTTGGGAAACTAGCTCTGCTCTAATTCGCGTCCGCAGAAATGGATGGACGATAGGCTGTAGACAGGGGCATGTCCAAGGTGACCTCGGAGGGTCTCTTTTTTTGGCTTCTATAACTTCCTGACAACAGCTGTACCTGTAAAATGTGTCGGATTCAGCAGCAAGGTCAGGGGCTGTTGTCACTTGGCAGACTTCAGCGACATGACCCCGGCAAAGACTTTGGAATAAAAACATCAGGAAAATAAACACTCAATGCTCGACAGCCAGAGGACCAGCCGGGAGCTGTCAGGTTGAAATACTAGTCTATTTGGGAAGGGAAGGAGAAGGAGCAAGGCCTCTTGGAAAGTCGCCCTCCATCTGCAGACGGAGCTGGTGCCAAACGCAGCACGCTAATTAACAGAGGAGAGAGGAGAAGGGTTAAGGCTGAGCTCCCTTCCAGTCACTCGGTCAGGAAACAGGCATGGCCTGGGCTGGGGCAGAGGAGCCCCAGGGAACACGTGTGCAGGGAGACAGCACAGGCTCAGGGCCCAGCCAGCTAGGCAGGTGAGCAGACTGACACACAAGAGCGGTGCTGGGCAGCAGTGCAGGGGAGTGGGGGGGGGGTGCTGCAGCAGGGGCTGGGGGCAGAGCCAGGAGGAGACAGCCTTGCAGAACTGGGCAGGAGCAAGGGTGACCTTAGGTGTCTAAAAAATACCCAAACAACTTTCCAGTTACGTTTTCTTTCTTTTTTTAAAAGATGTATTTATTCATTTATTTGAAAGACAGAGTGACTGAGAGCGATATGGGGAGAGAGAGAGAGAGAGAGAGAGAGAGAGAGAGAGAGAGAGAGAATCTCTTCCATTTGCTGATTCACTTCCCAAATGCCCCCAATAGCTCAATAGCTGGGGTCAAACCAGGCCAGAGACAGGAGCCAGAAACTCCATTCGGGTCTCCCATATGGGTGGAATGTTCAGTTATATTTTCTAATGAGAAAACTCGAAATATTTTTGACATTGTGAGGCTCGAAACAATGGGAGGATTTAGTTAACTGCATGAAAATAATCCGAATGTTGGTCCTTTGATGTTGGCTAATCAAAACAATTATTCTAACATTGTAAGCAGAGCTAGCGTTTGTGTTATGGGTGTGCCCACTCCCACCGTAAGAAGTACTTGGACCCACTTTTCTCTGGATCTCTTTCTACCTTCACCCCTAATGCCTGGCAAAGGGATTTGCTCAAGAATCCTAGAATATCCAAATTCTGAAAGCCTGTTAGTGTATGTGAATATGTCATAAAGATGTTCTGCATGTACACGTGTTGCAGAGAAATTGTATGATACACTAGTACTTGTCGCATTAGTGCATTGCAAAAAAAAAAAAAAAAGTCTGCTGCTAAACTTTTTTTCATCCTGAATGTCAGCAGGGAATGGGTCCCATAGCGCAGGAGCCTGAGACACCTGCACCAAAGCCAAGACTGGCTGTGACCAATTAGCATTTATATCATACTTTATCTGGCTCCCGGATATCAGCCTCATTAATGGGAGATAACTCACCCGGAATTTCAGCCAGAAAAAAAAAATCCTGACCGAAAGGAAGGAAGAAGGGAAAGCTGGATGACCTGAGTGATTCCTTGGGGGCTTGTGGTCACTCAGCAATGGCAGGAGGCAAGCAGGCTAAGGAAGCTCTTTTGTGTCTTCCCTGAGGACAGGAGAGGCACAGGTGCAGGACAGAATCAGAAGTCAGGAAGAAAAATCCTGCCAGTGGCACTTGCTGAGCTGAAGAGTCTGGCTACAAGAATCTCTAGCTTGAGGCCGGCGCTGTGGCGCAGTGGGTTAAAGCCCCTGCCTGCAGTGCCAGCATCCCATATGGCCACCGGTTTGAGACCCAGCTGCTCCACTTCCGATCCAGCTTTCTGCTGTGGCCTGGGAAAGCAGTAGAAGGTGGCCCAAGTCCTTGGGCCCCTGCACCCGCATGGGAGACCTGGAAGAAGCTCCTGGCTCCTGGCTTCGGATCGGCTCAGCTCCAGCCGTTGTGGTAATTTGGGGATTGAACCAGCGGATGGAAGATCTCTCTTTATCTCTGTCTCTGGCTCTACCTCTCTCTGTAACTCTGTCTTTCAAATAAATAAAATAATTCTTAAAAAAAAAAAAAAAAGAATTCCTAGCTTGTCTTCTGCAGCATCTTAGGTGCCAGGGAAGTTATCACTGGGTGAAGATGGTGAGTGACGGGGGAGGGTGGTTCTGTGTGCAGTGAGGGGGTGGACCAGATGTCTTTTTCAGGTGGCTTCCAAGGCTAGAAGTCTGTTTCTAAAAATAGAATGTTACAGAATTCATCAAGCCTTCATCGTGCCACTTCTGTCTATTATAAATGAGCTCAACTTTTCTGTTACCACAGGTAGGGATGGAATCATCCAATAAGCTGGAAATTTGTAACTGATCACAATAGGACACGGAAATTCACAGTGGCGAGGTTGCCTAACAGGAAGAGCAGGAGACAGAAGATTGGTGTGAATCCTGGTCCTGCCACTTTTTGCCTGTGTGAATTTAGGGGAATTACTTCACGTCTGTGAGCCTTCATACCTCATGTGTGAGGTGGGAATTTTCCAGTACGTAGCGATGAGACTGGCTCCTGTATTCTGCAAGACAGCAAACGGAAGGCTTTACTGCGAAGCACATGGAATTAAAGGGTGAAATAGAAATTCTCCTCTTAGCTGGCGCTGCGGCTCACTAGGCTAATCCTCTGCCTCGCGGCGCCGGCACACCGGGTTCTAGTCCAGGTCGGGGCGCCAGATTCTGTCCTGGTTGCCCCCCTTTCAGGCCAGCTCTCTGCTGTGGCCAGGGAGTGCAGTGGAGGGTGGCCCAAGTACTTGGGCCCTGCACCCCATGGGAGACCAGGAGAAGCACCTGGCTCCTGGCTTCGGATCAGCGCGGTGCACCGGCTGCAGCGCGGCGGCTGCGGCGGCCATTGGAGAGTGAACCAACGGCAAAGGAAGACCTTTCTCTCTGTCTCTCTCTCACTGTCCACTCTGCCTGTTAAAAAAAAAAAAAGAAAGAAAGAAATTCTCCTCTTTTTTTTTTTACTTTTATTTAATGAATATAGATTTCCAAAGTACAGCTTATAGATTACATTGGCTTCCCCACCTCCCCCACCGTGACTTCCCTCCCACCCGCAACCCTCCCCTTTCCTGCTCTCTCCCCTTCCGTTCATATCAAGATTCATTTTCAATTTTCTATATATACAGAAGATCAGTTTAGTCCACATTAAGTAAAGAAGAAATTCTCCTCTTAAACCAAAGGTTGTTAGAAATCCCCCATGGCACCAAAAATGAGACGAGAACTGAAAATCAGAGTGTAAATGGAGGAGCCAATCCGGAAGCTGCCTGGCGCTGGGGCTGTGGCGGAAGTGGTTCACTGAAGGGGTTGTGTTTAATGGTTGTGTAGGACTAGGAATCAAGTCACATAAAAAGGAAACACAGGAACCATCAAATAAAAAGGAAACGTAGCAAAGATATTTGCCCACTGATAAAGAGCAGGGACAAGGTTTATCCGTCTTGGTCTGGATTCTGGACTGGCAAAGAACTCCAACATAGCAGAGGCATTTTCATGTGAGGAATCTTTGTCTTCCTTTATGCCAGTTGGGGGTTCAAATTTATATCCTGTGAACACCCATACCAATTCCTTACTGAGAAGCT